TGGAATCCTGAGTCCCATCCACAACCTTGTGAGGTGAGATATTCCCACTGGAAAGGACAAGCAGACTGCAACAGCTACAGTGACAGATGATGCATCTTCATGATGAACCTGACCTATACTCAGAGTAGTTGTTACTCTAAATACCAACAGAGAGGGAAAGTCTTCAAATCAAGTTTCAATGCTATCCACTCTGTACACAGAGTAGATAGGAACGGGCAACTTAGACATTGGCTACCTAAAATGAGGGGGTGATAAAGGTACGAAGTGACTGGTTTACAAGGTTTCAAGAGGGAGTTTACAAGGTTTCAAGAGGGAAAGAAAGAGCCCCCACTGAATAGCTGTCATCTTGTCTAGATGGGTCTGGTGAAAAGAGATGGGGATAAGATTAGTAAGATTCAATAGTGAATAACTGTTATCATGACTAATCGCGACTGTCAGAATTGTAAAGGTAGAAGTTTTGTAACAAAAAAAAAGGGGGAGTGGTTAATCTTACAGTCCAGCAACAGAGGATCCCAGGACCATCAAGAGAGGAACGCATAAGCAGAATGCAGGAACTTATCCAGAGAAGCAGCAGTGCCACAGATGGAGGCAGAGATGGGGCATGGAGAGGGGGTGCGGCGGAGGACTCCAGATTCATGGACTAAGAAGAGAAGGACTAAGAGCTGGTGGCCAGGAGCAGACTTGCAGAATGTGCCCTTTGGAGATGTAAATTATTATATATGCCTGAGTGGGTCTTTTTGTTTGTGTGTTTTTTTAAAAAAACTAAAGTGGATAGAGAAAAATACTGTTAACTGATGGTACATGGAGGGGATTATAATCAACGTAAAGGAAAAAAAAAAAAGAAACTTATGGAGTGCTAGAGCAGGGGCAATATAGCTTTAAAATAAGGTGATTATATAAGGTCATGAAGTTGACAACTGAGCAAGACATGAAAGAGATAAGATATGAGCCATGGGTATCTGAGGCCCCAAGCACAAAGAACTTCTAGCACAAAGGCCTTGAGGCTGAAGTATAGCTATTGTGTTCCTAAGGAGAGCAGTATGGCTAAAGAAGAGAAAGTAAGAGTAGTGGGAGATGAGGTCAAGAGTGAGATTATACAGACTTTGCAGGCCATTTTAAGGACTTGAGATTATGCTCTAAGTAACACAATAAGCTATTAGAAAGTTTTGAACAGAGGAATGATAAGATTTAAATTATGTTTCACCAGTATAACTTAATTAGCAACAAACAATATGTGTAGAACTAGAGAAACTAGTTAAAATCTATTGCAACTATCCAAGAGTACAGTGTTGAATAGTGCTCACAAAAGATTCATGTCCACCTGGAATTTCAGAATTTATCCTTCTTTGGAAATAAAAAGATTTTAAATATATTTAAGATGAGATCATGTTGTTGTTGTTAGGTGTTGTCGAGTCAGTTCCGACTCATAGTGAACCTATGCACAATAG